AGAAATCAAGTATGGGGGAGGAACTACCCCAGCTGACTTAGTTTTTATCACTTCCAGGTGTTAGGAGGACTTAGAGTGGACTCATGGCGTAGCGGGGACTCAATTGTATGGACCTCTAGGGCATTCCTTTAGTTTGGAGTGTTATGTCAAGTTTGTGCATATTTATATTTATTCTTATCGAAGTTCATTTAGGATTATTTTTGATATGTGGGTTGTTTATATCCCATAAGTTTGGATGGTTTTTGATTGCGGTTGATTTTGCCGTTTATAATTGTGGCATGTCTGGATTGAGTTTTGGTTATTTATTATTGGACTATTGTTCAGTTGTTCAATGTGATTGGATTCGTGTTTAGGCTTACGTGTGCCTTGGGCTAAGTCCCTGTGGGCCACGGCCGGTCATGCCCGGATTTGGGGTGTGACAGATTTGCGCCTCAATCTTATCTCCGGAAGCGCCCTGGACCGACAAGGCTATACAAGTACATTCGGAAATGGTCGTTGGAAGCTGACAAGAGGAGCTTTGACAATCGCCAGAGGAGAGATGTCTTCAACACTGTATAAGACTCAAACGAAGATCTGTCTAGAAAGTCTTAATGCAGCAGAAGACAAGGAGTCACCTGGCTTATGGCACAGAAGACTGGCTCACATGAGTGAGAAGGGATTGCATCTATTGGCAAAGCAATCCAGAATACCCTTATCCAAAGTGAATGCTTTGAAGCCGTGTGATCATTGCCTTTATGGCAAGCAACATCGAGTATCATTCAGTTCAATGAGCAAGAGGAAAACAGAAGTGCTCAATATGGTATACTCGGATGTTTGTGGCCCAATTGAAGTGGAGTCACATGGCGGCCGCAAGTATTTTCTGACTTTCATTGATGATGCATCAAGGAAGTTGTGGGTGTATTTCCTGAAGACAAAAGATAAGGTATTTCAGCACTTTCAGGAGTTCCATGCAATGGTAGAAAGAGAGACTGGGAAGAAGTTGAAGTGTCTTCGCACAGACAATGGAGGCGAGTACATTTCCAATGCTTTTGCAGCATACTATGCCAACAGAGGTATCTGGCACGAGACAACAGTTCTCGGCACCCCACAACACAATGGTGTGGCAGAAAGGATGAACCGTACTATTATGGAAAAAGTCAGATGTATGCTCAAAATGGCAAAGTTGCCAAAGTCATTCTAGGCTGAAGCCGTCAGTACAGCCTGTTACCTCATCAATAGGTCACCTTTAGTCCCGTTGAATTTTGCGATACCTGAGGAAGTCTGGTCCAGAAGAAAGGTATCATATTCTCACTTGAGAGTCTTCGGGTGTAAGGCTTTTACACACATCTCTAAGGAAAACAGACAGAAGCTTGATGACAAGTCCACTCCATGCATATTTGTGGGCTATTCAGATGCAGCATTTGGGTACAAGGTGTGGGACCCAGTGAACAAGAAGATGTTCAAGAGCAGAGATGTTGTGTTCCAAGAAGACCAGACAGTAGCAGATTTTGAGAAATCTGCAAAGTCCAGAGATGTCATCACTCCAGACTTGTTTCCATCTCCCAAGCCATCACAAAATGCTAGATGTGATGATGTGCAACAAGAAGTGCCAGAGTTACAGGATCCTATGCCAGAAATTGAGGATCAGGAGGAAAGAGATGAAGACCCGGATGAAGAGGGTGTTGAGCAGGGGGAGCAACCCCCTCAAACTGGGCCCCAGTTGCGGAGAACTGGAAGAGCTGTTGTGCCATCAACCAAATATCCCGCTTCTCAGTATATTCTAATTACTGATGAGGGGGAGCCCGAGAGTTTTTCGGAAGCCAAGAGTCATACAGAAAAAGACTGTTGGATGCAAGCCATAAAGGAAGAGATGAGTTCTTTGCAGAAGAACCACACTTATGAGCTTGTTCCACTTCCAAGAGACAGGAGAGCCTTGAAAAACAAATGGGTGTATAAGTTAAAGAAATATGGAAACGATAAACTATTGCAGCATAAAGCTCGTTTGGTGGTCAAAGGCTTTGGGAAAAAGAAAGGAATTGATTTTGATGAGATCTTCTCCCCAGTTGTGAAGATGACTTCTATTCGAGTAGCTCTGGGATTAGCAGCTCGCTTGAATCTGGAAGTAGAACAAATGGATGTCAAGACTGCCTTTCTCCATGGTGAGTTGGAGGAAGAGAACTACATGGAGCAACTAGAAGGATTTGAAGTTAAAGGAAAACAGAATCTAGTCTGCAAACTAAAGAAGAGTCTCTACGGCCTGAAACAGGCGCCGAGACAATGGTATAAGAAGTTTGATTCATTTATGGTGGATCACGAGTACACAAGAACAGTAGCAAACCAATGTGTATATTTCCGCAGGTTTTCGGATGGAAACTTCGTTATCCTACTGTTGTATGTCGATGATATGCTAATCATCAGATAAGATACTACTATGATCAACAAGTTGAAAAAGGACTTGTCGCAGTATTTTGACATGAAGAATTTAGGCCCAGCACAGCAAATTTTGGGCATGAAGATTGTTCGTGACAGGAAAGCCAAGAAGATATGGTTGTCACAGGAGAAATATGTTGAACGGGTAATTGAAAGGTTCAACCTGAAAGATGCCA